GCCTCGGCCTCCCCCTGCTCCTGCACCGGCCGCGAGGCCTTGTCCGGGTCGGGGGCGCCGCACGTGTCCGGGAAGCGGGGCCCGAGGCCCGCAAACGAGTCGCAGCGCAGCGGGCTCTCCTCTTGCACCGGGCGGCCCACCGGCTCCCCCGCGCCGCCGCCGCCGGGCCCCGCGGGGCCCTCCTGCGAGTTCTGACTGACGTAGACCACGATGATGTCGCCCTTGAAATTCATCACCTGCCCGCTGGAAATAAACGTGGAGTTACTGTTTCCAGTCACATTTCCTACAGGGGAGAGGAAGAGAGAACACGCAGAGGGTGAGTCAGCGATTCGTGGTGAAGAACTGGGTCATGTGAGAGGAAAGTTCCCCAATGAATCGAGGGGCCAAGGCGGCCCCTCCTCCCAGACAAGGCTCCTCCAACGCATCGGGCACACCCAAGACTCCCTTCATTTGTCCTCTCTCCCGGACTCAGGCCGAGGAAGGAAGGAGAGAGAAAGAAGAGAAGACATGAGAGCAATCAGAGACGAGAAGACAAGAAAAGAGAAGGAAACCCATGGGCCGTGCTCGAGTTTTGTCGTTTGCTACATGGGACTCTGGAGATACAGGCAGGAGCGCGCCCAGACTGTGGACTCACAGACAAGATTTAGAGGCTGCAAAGTGTCTGTGCGCGCGCGTGTGATCCATATGCAGCAAACAGCCAATGCCCCCGGCTATGGTCAAATGTATCAAGGCTGGAGGGAAGGTTGTTACCTGACAGGGCCTTGGAGCCCACCTCAGCCCAGCCTCCTGTAGACCAGACTCTCGTCTGAGGCCTCTGTCACCCCTGGTGGCTTTACGCCTCCCACCCTCCATGGAAGTCCCTAACAGCTCAGCTCTGGAGGGCCGTGGGGCCACCCAGGTTCGTGCTTAGCAGAAGTTAACCAATTTCCTTAACATTTTCTTTTTTTTTTACTCCTGGGAAAAAAAGAGATTCATAAGGCTAAAATGGAGAGGGGAAAATATATATATATATCAATCCTATAAATCACTCTTTCATCCTTAACCCTGAGGGGTGTTTTGTCCCTAGAGGGTTGGTTCTATCATCTCTTCTTCCTGGGTGACTAGATTTTGCCAGTCTTTAACGAATGCGTCTTTCGAAAAACAAATAGGAGGTTCAACAAAAGTTAGGAAACCAGCTACCTCTTATTATTCTTCTGTGTTAAAGACTGAAATATCTAGAAATATCCCAAGTGAAAATTGAAAATTAATGCCACAAACCAAGCAGATACAGAAATGCCCCCCCCCCCAACCCCAACGCTCAGCATCACAAACAGAACCTTTCAATCTGACCAGGGGAGGCAAACATCGAAATGGTCCCTCACCATGCACTTCCTCATCTTTTTCCTTCTTTATTGTCACAAAGCTTAATAATAATTTATACAAATAAAACTTTCTGTCGCCACTCCACATAAAAGATTTTCTCCGAATTTGGAAGGCATGCTTTGGACTAAAATACCAACAGAATACAGGGCGTTCTTTTGGGGAGCCTTCCCTCCACCCCCTGGGAACCTGCAGAGAAGCAGGGACTGAGGCACAGTGGCCCATGGAAACACAGGGTTTCAAATTGAGCAACAAATCGAAAGTCACATAGGAAGATTTATGACTCAAGCTATTTCTCCCTTAGGCAGCTGCGCAGGGTATATTCCAAGAGGAGTAGTGGGGGGATTTATTTGCCTAATAATCCCCCCCCCAAAAAAAACAACATGAGGGAGGCCAGTGAGTATTTCCATTCACCAACTAGCCAGACTGACATCCACGTTCTCCATTCCCTCTCAAATATACTGACAGGTGCTCATACAGCGAACTCTAAGCCAGGGATCTACTCTCTAGCATGTCTTTGCCTTTCTGCTCCCAACAGTTACCGAGTCAGTTCTTGAGTCTGTTTTTACCAGCTGAACTCATTAGGAAATCTAATTAAAAATGAGTCTCTAAATGCAAAACAAAATATATAGATAGATAGATAGATATAGATATATCTATATATATCTCTATAGATAGCTAGATATAGATATATCTATATCTCTATAGATAGATAGATAGATAGATAGATAGATATATTTATATCTATCTATCTATCTATCTATATATATATATATATCTCAAGAAACTGCTTAACTGCTGAGGTAGTATGGGAAAGGCAACTCTTGAAAAAAGAAAACAAAAAACATTAAAAGTCCATAAGGACTCATATTTGTTTTGCAAATGTCTATAAGTTCTCTTTCCACATGAAAGAAATAGAAACTAGGAATTCAGGTGGCGTGGTTCATGTAAAAAAGGCTCAGGAAATTATCATCAGCCAATACACATGGCTCTATACTAAAAAATCATCCATGTGTGCATGTAAGCTATGTGTTTTGTTAAAAAAAAAAAACGTTTAAGATAGGAACTTCTAAATGACTTTTTCAAGTAACTCAGCAACTATACTGACCAAAGGCTGATAAGAGCTTCTGCTGTGGCAGCAGCAAAGTGAGCATGGCAACACAGAAGTCCTCCCAGTTGGGGGACCACTAGTTTAGTTAACGGAAAAAGTCAAAGTGAGAAACCAAAGCCAATAGGTATATACCATCAACATTCCATTCTAATTGAAACTATATCATATTCAATAAGAATCAGTAACTTGAAGTGGCTTGGAAGTATGATTTTCTCAGTCTAGTTCTTTTCTATTATTACATCATTGACTGCTGGTTCTTTAATATAATGTAAAGCTACACAGAGGGCCTCCCAAGCCACTGCGTGATTGATGTGCGGTTTGGAATTTATCTCACGTCTTCTTCATCCTGTTCATATTGAGATTTATCTGTTTATGTCATGGTATATGTGATTTCCCTATTATTTAATTTTACTTTCCAACAAATCATTATCATGAATCCACTATTGTTTATCTTCTTTCATGCCTGAATCTTCAGTTTGTCTGAATTCAGGTAAAAACCCAAGATTTTGTGTTAAAATTTTCATCTTAAGAGTTTCATTCCATGGCATTGCCTCATGGCAAACAATATCTTTGTCTCTCCTATAGGATCTATATTCTCGTTTTCTTTTTTTTTTTCCAAAATGGAACTTGAACTCTTTTGCCTAAGAGATATATTTAAACATTTCAGAATACTCTGATTCACAGATTGGATCAAGAATATTATTCTTGGTGGGGGATGGGCAGGCACAATGGGGAGAGGACAAAAACAAGGTTATTAAATTCCTGACAGGATGTAAAGAAAAGTTACCTAGAAAGAATGAGATTCTCAAACAGTCTTCTTTATCGAAAGTACAAAAACAACCTCTGATCAAGTTCAAGTCCATTCCACCTATGCTGGCTTTTGTGAAAGTAGCTAGTACAGTTACTTTAGTAAACTGGTACAGACTAAACTTCTTTGACAAGCCCTGATTTGCCAATAATGATGAGTGGCAGCAGAGCCATGGGTGTGTGACCTGTGTCGACACATGGATCCCTATGTTCAGAAGGGCCCCACACTTGGTTTAATACTCAGCTCTCATCACCTTGAACTTCTTACTAATTTTTGCACAAGGGACCTCATATTTTCATTTTTCACTGGGCTCTGGAAATTACATAGCTAGTCCCGAGTGGCAGGCTGCTCTTAGGTGTGTTGCTCTGGGTCCCCCTCCCCACACCAATGCTCTAATTCAGTGTCACTCTTTTCGGAGGTAACATAACTTGGACATGTTTCAATATTGCAGAAGTGTTTGCCAATCTAACTTTCTCCATTGATAAATATTCGGTAAGACACAGCTGCAGAGGCTACCCACCAATGCTCTTAAAATATGGATCCTATGATGTTTCCCTGATGCTCAAGCCACCTGTCATTGCTGCAAAACTTTCAACACAAACTTTCTGATGTAGAACTGAGGCCTGTCCCTTTGGGAAAAGGTCTACTGACTGTATCGATTATACCTTTAGGGGTTTGCCCACGGTCTCTAGTTTTGGTTTCTTTAAAGTCACTTCCCAAGGAGTCTACATGCGGGATCCTTCTCGAGTTTTCGTCCCTCGGTCCATTGTTGTCTCATGCTCCTTAACAGCAAAAATTTTAGCAACTCATTTTTTGAATTGTCCTGAAGTATCTAACAGTTTTCACGAAAACAATTCTCATGCTTATCCACCTCATCTTTTAAATGATTTGAATGACAGCTGGATCTAGTAAGCGTGATGAGTGGGAGCAGGAAGGCCTGGGTTTCTAGTGACCCCATTAGTCACGAGTAATCGGTGTGCTGTGAGCTTTGGTCAGCTTACTTGACAGAGGGAAGGGAGAATGTGGGCCAATCTATGGACTAATTGAAGGTAAATTAAGATGGTGCTCCCATAACAGTAACAACAGGACTAGAAACAACCCCCTGAATCCAGAATTCATGGAGAGCTTTTTCTGTGCCAGGCTGGCTGCGTTGTAAACAACAGCTCGCAGGTATTTTGCATGTGAGCATTTCTGGTTTGCTGCTTTTTTCCCCCTCTCCTGACTGACATTGCTTCAAGGATGAAAACAGCCTTCTTTTTTCACGGCTTGTCATAATGCAGACTCGCCTGAAAGTAATCTAATAATGCCAGAGTCATCCTGGTGTCTTGGTCTTTGAAGAACAGAAGGTACGTAACTGGTAAGTAAAGGGACAGTGGTTTCAGTGGCTGCCTGAGTACAGGAGGGCAAGAGACGGGGTGTTGGGGAGAGGTCTCTGAAAGGTCTCTGGTCTTGCCCAGGCACAGCCCCCACTAGCTGTCAAATTTGAGACAAACCACCTAACAACTCTCCAGACCTCAGTCTGCTCGTTTATGATATGAGCATCAATTTTTCAGGGTGCAGCCACACTGAGCAGGCACATGATAAATGTCAAACGAATGAATGAAGGAATGCATGAACACTCGGCAGGACGGCATGAGGGTCACACGACACGGTGGATTTGACAACGCTTGGGAAACAGCAAAGAGCTAGTCACAGGTGCAGTGATGGCATTGCTACTCCCAGAAGGTGGCATTAGCGCTCATGGAACCAAGCAAGACAGAGACTCAGCAAACGCACTGGGCAGCGATGCTATCCTCCCATCCTTGTCTTGCTGGAGGATCTCGACATGTCTTGAAGACTGAAAGGACATTTTCTTCTAGAAATCTAACCCACTTTTTTTTTCTTTGCGGAAACAACCCATCATTCTGTCTCTGGCGTGAACACTCATCTGTATTATTCTACACTGCACCCCTCAGTCTCATTTCTCGTCATGCAAGTCGGCTGCCAGTTGAATGTAGCACTAGGA